CGGCAAAAATCTAACCACCACCTCAATAAAAATAACTCCTGTGATCCATGCTCAACGGATTATAGGTGGTTTTAATTTTCTAATTTGAATGCATGTCTTTCTTGTACCTGCAGCCCGGTGAGAAGTAAGCAGGTATTATGCATGCAGGGACCAGAGTAGAGAGTAAAATGTGACTCAACACCAATCGAGTGTTCATTAATTAAACTTTGCTTTGGCTTCTGTGAATGGCCTCCTGCTATGAACTGATGAGACATAGCTTTACTAATGCAGTAGGCTCATTTTGTGGACAGCTCAGGGAAAGTGGCATTGGATATTTATAAAAGACTGATTGTAGTAGCGTACATCCCTTGGCCTGTGCTTGTACAGACACTTTGATCCTGCTTTGCCTTTCCTTCTGCTAATTTGAATGGACACTCCTCTGTCACACAATCTGAAATCATATTGCTCTTCGGCCAACATGCAGATGTTTGGTATTTTGAGCATGCTTTGTCTTCCATTGCATTCCAAAATGTCAGGTAGCCTAGCAGTTAAGAGCGTTGGGCCAGTAACCGAAATGTCACTGGTTCGAATCCCCGACCGGGTGAAAAATCTGTCGAGGTACTTAACCCTAATTGCCTGTAAGTCGCTCTAGATAACAGCGTCTGCTAAATGACTAAAATGTTAATGTAAAAATTATGCAAACGTAATAATGGACACTTTAAGCATCTCTCACACAATCTGAAGTCATAGTGCTCTTTGGCCAACATGTTGCCTAACAGCCAGTCAAACTCCCAGCTGTCAGTCCAGTGTGTTACTCAGTCATCACACTGCCTCCCAGGGTAAGGGATACAGTGGATACCCATCAATTATGAGCACAAGCTCTACACTGCCAAAGGACACTCTCACTCCCTCAACTGTCTCTCTTCTCTCCCTCGTCTCCCTCCCTTTGTCTCTCCATCTCTCTCTGCATGGAGTCAACATAACAAGCTCAACACCAGTTACTAAACTAATTACAACCGTATAACAAAATAACAATATGTTTGAGACTTCTTTCATCTAGTTAACTATGTTCATCATATGTGGGGTCTATTAATGGGTGCATGTTTACTAATAACTGGAATAAGCAATTTCATAAATGTGTCAAGTGCAGCATCTGGTTGCTCCTCATTACACACCACAGACCAGCAAATATTATTTTGTTAGTCAATATTTAGGTAACCCAGAAAATATACCTCTCTATTGATATCACATACATTATCAAGCATTTCACACATTTTTATCCAGAGACTGACTGTTAGCACTTTGTGGTCTATAGCAGTTTCCCACCAAATGGGCTTTAGGTGAGGCAGGTGAACCTGTAGTGATATTTCTTCAACAGTATTTAACATGAGATCCTCTAAGCTTTACAGGAATGTGGCTCTGACATTGGCATTTCTGTATTTTCTGTAGATGTTATAACCATGTATTGCTACCACTGTATAGTCAAAGGTATTATCTAAGTGATTTTCAGAGATAGTCAGAAAATGAATGTAATCTGTTACTAGCAAGTTATTGATTTCATGATCCTTGTTTGTAAGGCTACATACAGTATGTTAATGTCGGTTATTTTTAGCACTTTTATGGGATGCTTGATTTGTTTTTATTGCTTTACTGGGAAGCTTAACAGAAGTAGACATGACAATATTGTTTATGTTTGAGCTGATAGTGCAGGGTGATTTGCACACAGTGGACTTCCTTCTAGGACACATCGCCTCAGTGCTAACAGTTTAACTCCGGTTCATAGGCACATGATTAATGTATACAATAGCTGTACGATCGACAGAGTCATTCAGGGGAGTTAGAGGGACATAAATTAGGTTACTTACATTGTGACTGCCAAAGCCCCTGGTATAATGTACATTTGCTGCAGCATTACGACAACTCAGCGACACAATGGTAGGCATTATCTGAGCTGGGCTTGGGTCATTGATAGGTCATTGTCTCAATGCAGCCTTCCAGAAAGTGTCAAAGTTATCTATAAAAGTTATTCCAACAGAGCTACAGTAATATTTTAGCCAGGTGTGTAATGCCAGTAGCCTGATGAATCTTTCACACCCGCGGCCCAACGATGGTACCGGACCTGAAATAATTGGCCGATTTTTGGAGTTTTTGAGAGCTAGAATCAGTTCTTTTAAAATCCATTTTCAGTGGTTCTGAGCTAGCCCTCCTAATGTCGTTTGACCCCACATGGACTACGACAGCGTCAGTTCCCGGCATCTGTTGTAGAACGGTCGGAAGCGGCCTTGTAATATCCTGTACTCGTGCTCCAGGACAGCACAGGGTTTTTGCCCCGGGAACCGAGATGTTTCTTACCATAGAGCTGCCGATAACGACAGCTGGTGCAATGGATGAGGAGGTCCGGCCGTTCTTTCGCCTCGAGTGGTTTCACAAACCCCTCGAGGCCCGAAGGGCGGTGGGGCCCGAGCTAGCTATAGTATCCATTGTGGATGATGAATGGGCCGGAGTCTTAGACAGCCTCATGGTGTGATGAGGGGGGAGCTCTGAGGATCTGAAACCGAGGTAGAAGCCACTGGAGAGGGAGACAGAATAGAGGACGAAGGCACAGGTTCCTCCGGATCCGATGTCGAATCGGAAGCCCCCAGGGAAGAAGGTGCCGGAATGTCTGGATCCTGGGCGGCGAAGCTGTTTCTAATCTGTGTCCGGTCCGGGCTTATCTTTGCCAAGGAGGCCCCCGTTGCCAGAGGTTGCTGTTTTTGACTTCCATGGTAAGTGACACATCTCCATGGCTGGTTGGTAGGAGCGAGAACAGGAATATCCACCAAGTCATCCAGGACCATCCTACTAACTCCTCCCTTTGGGGAGGGATCCCTGCAGAGTACCGGCCAGTCGGCTGTGGAGAGCCGACACGGCGGCGACACTTCCACCAGGCCAGAGCGGCGTCCAGCTACTGGGGTAGAAGAGAAAGAAAAAGTAGGCGGGCGTGGATTCCCCAGCTACTTGTTTGCTAAGAGTAGCCACTTCGCCCCTGTAGTCCTCAGCAAGCAAACAGTTGCTACATTGAAAGTCTGTGTGGTCCACATTGTCCTGGAATAAAGCAAAATAAACACAGCTCCTGCAGCATTGAAAACGTTTGTTAGCGTCCTCCATTTGAGGCTACAGGCCAGCTAGGCTAGCTAGCTAGCTGGGCTTTCGTGTCTCTCTTCTTGACAGGGAATTCTTAACTTGTCCGAGAGAGAATTACACGGCTATCCAAAACGTCAGGCCAAGGTAAGCCTACACCAAACACACAATTCATTTGAATTTTTGTAAAATTCACCATGTGAAAAATGAATGGAGATGTGGAGTATTGTAACTCAGGCCAGTAAAGCACGTTTCATCAACAACATGTGAATGCTGTTTGTCTGTCCTGGCGTCAATGTCACCTGCTGTGTGTGTGGGGTGTGATATTACCCAACATCCGATTTGGACCAAACTTCTTCCTACCAATGAATAAGACATGAGGAATCCCCCCCAAAATATTGTCAATGCCACCCATGGAGTCCCCACGCCCCATGCCAATCCTACCACAACAACTAGTATACAGTATCAGTTCTCTATGTTTGACAAATAGTATGAAGTATTGGAGTATTGCTTCTCCATAATATGTAATGTATCCTCTGTGAATCTGGTGATGTTTTTCTCCCCCTGTTCAGAGAAATTAGTAATTCAAGTCGCTTGCAGGTTTTGACCACTAGATGCTGCTGTTCCTGCTATACCGCCACACTCTTTTATCCATTTTGCTGGTCTCTTGTGTTTTATTAAATAGATCACAACATTTCCTTTGCAATTTTGGGTAGAAATCCAATAGATTTTGGCTCATTATGAAAATACATTGTTTGGTCATCCTCACAATTCAAGCCAGTCATCCATGAAAGCGACAATCTAAACCTCCATTTTAGAGACTTGATAAGCACAAGCACATATCATCAACACCTAGTTTCGTCTGTGGAATCTCAATCGAATCCTTAATTAAAGCCATTGGCGAACTGTGGCTATTGGACCTAGTCCTTCAGTGGGGGAAAAAAATATTCTAACACATTGTACCAAACTCAAAAATCAGGAAATATAACAGAAACAAAACTGAATCAATCAGGCCTGAGGCTAAGTCACGCTTCGGGCTGCCACTCGCACAGAGACCGCACCCACACGGATAATGCTACCAACAACCACACTGCTTACACAACCTAAGGTAGCCTAACACCAGCACTATCACATTATCACCAAAAGCAACACCAACACATACACATGGTATGTTCACATTCAATATGTATTCAATACATTTTCATGGAACAGAAGACATATGAAATATGTTTTTCATTGCTTTTTGTAGGACTGGTAAAGCCCATGTTGTTCCAGTTAAAATCTGTAGATAAATCTTTTCAGTGTTCAAGGACATTGTTTATGTAAGCACATTTGTAGTTGTGTGTTTTCAAATGGTTGAATTGAGTGGCTTTATACCGTCAACGTCTCCAAAATCCCCAGACTGTTTTCCCAGGCTTCCCAGTGTGTTTTGACTGTATCTTGTCCAACAGCTCTATGTTATGTCTACTGACTCAGGGCTTAAGATCTCTCAGCCTGCATTGCTCTCGTACATTCCATCCTTGACATGGACTCTAAGAAAATGATCAGGTGAAACTTGAGAACATATCTCTCTAATATCTCCTCATGAAGTCGACAGGAACAGAGTCTTCTATTTGGACAGGGCCATTAGGACCACCCTGGATGACCTTGCTCGTCCTTTCAAAGAGCCAGAAAATGTCGAGCTTAGGAAAGAAATGGTGCAAAGAACGACTGTGCTATTAAACTTGATAAAAGCTTCTAAATGAATCAAAATGAGTCTGTTCAAATCTCTCACCAGCCATTATTCGGAAGAGCTTCAGGTTAAAGACTTTTGGAGAAGATACCATTTGGCTGTCATTTTCACCCAGCGTGACTCATCTGTGCTTGGCAGCAGTGGGTTGTTTTCATCTCGTTCTGCTTCAATGACACTGGCCACAGAATGTCCCAGAGATCTGCAGCGCGTGTCCCAACCTGTGGGGACGTTTCGTAGGGAGGCTGAATTCGCAGTGACCTGTCCAGATTGTGAAGGTCGCTGGAGGGAGACAGGGGGTTCTGGCAATGGACAGGGGGTCATAGCAATAGGCCTTTTCTCTTAGAGGAACATGAGCTTTACACTGAGACTGGGACTGAGATAACTGATGACAAATTCAGTGTTAGGAAATCATTTTACTATTTAATTAGCAATATAATTCAAGTTATTCCTTGGTTTGCAGTGTGCTGTGCAGTATGGGGATGTTAGTCATTTTCTATTCGTCCAAACTATTTTGTATTTGTCAAAGCAAACAACAGCACTAGCTTGTTGGTTGTTAGTTTGAAAACCAGTAAATTGTTCTGTGAGCCACACATCACCAGTCATGTCTGTAGCAGAGGAGTCTAGGCACTGCTCTGCTTTGATCCCAGCCACCCCTCAGGGAGAGGGGGCAGAGAACCAGGGAAACGGACTCCCACATTTACATACTCTACTGTACGGCAGCATGACAAAGTGTGGTGTATTGCAGATTTTCTGGGTGCAGCAGTCTCAATGGTCTGTATCAAGTCTACTGTTAATGTTAAGCTGATGTAGAAGTGGAGTAGACCTACTCTGAGTCGTCTGGGATTAAAATTGGTGTAGGAGGAGGCAGAGAGAGAGAGAGAGATATGGTAGAGTGGGGAGACTGAGTCGTTTGTTATTCTGAGTCGTTTGTTATTGTCAGGACCCACATTTACAGTTGAAGTGGGAAGTTTACATCCACCTTAGCCAAATACATTTCAACTCAGTTTTTCACAATTCCTGACATTTAATCCTAGTAAAAAAAATCCCTCTCTTAGGTCAGTTAGGATCACCACTTTATTTTAAGAATGTGAAATGTCAGAATAATAGTAGAGAAATTATTTATTTCTGCTTTTATTTCTTTCATCACATTCCCAGTGGGTCAGAAGGTTACATACACTCAATTAGTATTTGGTAGCGTTGCCTTTAAAATGTTTAACGTGGGCCAAACGTTTCGGGTAGTCTTCCACAAGCCTCCCACAATAAGTTGGGTGAATTTTGGCCCATTCCTCCTGACAGAGCTGGTGTAACTGAGTCAGGTTTGTAGGCCTCCTTGCTCGCACACGCTTTTTCAGTTCTGCCTACAAATGTTCTATAGGATTGAGGTCAGGGCTTTGTGATGGCCACTCCAATACCTTGACTTTGTTATCCTTAAGCCATTTTGCCACAACTTTGGGAAGTATGCTTGGGGTCATTGTCCATTTGGAAGACCCATTTGCAACCAAGCTTTAACTTCCTGACTGATGTCTTGAGCTTCAATATATCCACATAATTTTCCTTCCTCATGATGCCATCTATTTTGTGAAGTGCACCAGTCCCTCCTGCAGCAAAGCACCCCCACAGCATGATGCTGCCACCCCCGTGCTTCACGGTTGGGATGGGGTTCTTCGGCTTGCAAACATTCCCCTTTTTCCTCCAAACATAACGATGGTCATTATGGCCAAACAGTTCTATTTTTGTTTCATCAGACCAGAGGACATTTTTCCAAAAAGTACGATCTTTGTCCCCATGTGCAGTTGCAAACCGTAGTCAGACTTTTTTATGGCGGTTTGGGAGCAGTGACTTCTTTCTTGCTGAGCGGCCTTTCAGTTTATGTCGATTATAAGACTTGTTTTACTGTGGATATAGATACTTTTGTACCTGTTTCCTCCAGCATCTTCACAAGGTCATTTGCTGTTGTTCTGGGATTGATTTGCACTTTTTGCACCAAAGTACGTTCATCTCTAAGAGACAGAAAGCGTCTCCTTCCTGAGCGGTATGACGGCTGCGTGGTCCCATGGTGTTTATACTTGCGTACTATTGTTTGTACAGATGAACGTGGTACCTTCAGGCGTTTGGAAATTGCTCCCAAGGATGAACCAGAATTTTCTGAGGTCTTGGCTGATTTCTTTTGATTTTCCCATGATGTCAAGCAAAGAGGCACTGAGTTTGAAGGTAGGCCTTGAAATACATCCACAGGTACACCTCCAATTTACTCAGGCTAATTGACATCATTTATCAGAAGCTTCTAAAGCCATGACATCATTTTCTGGAATTTTCCAAGCTGTTTAAAGGCACAGTCAACTTAGTGTATGTAAACTTCTGACCCACTGGAATTGTGATACAGTGAATTATAAGTGAAATAATCTGTCTGTAAACAATTGTTGGAAACATTTCTTGTGTCATGCACAAAGTAGATGTCCTAACCGACTTGCCAAAACTATAGTTTAACAAGAAATGTGTGGAGTGGTTGAAAAACGAGTTTTAATGACTCCAACCTAAGTGTATGTAAACTTCCGACTTCAACTGTACATTGTATCCCCCTCAGACAAAGGCACTTTCATTTATTCTCTGCTATAGTGAGTACAGTACAGAGACACCCACTGCATGGCTATAGATAGTGACAAGCTGCCACATTGTAGAGGGCATTAAGAACATCCTCCCTTCCACCTCTCCCTAATCCTCCCTCGGTCCTCTTCTCGCTGCCTGACTCAGCGCACTAATTCTAGCACCCTGTCTAACACACACAGAGACAATACGCTGGCCCCGTGGCACATGTGGATGAGCTTTCACTCATCATCATTGTGTGTGTAGTGGTGATGTCTCTAGTGTTGGGTTTCCCGGCAGTGTTTCTGTAATCAGGTTATGTCCAGGGAGGTCTGAGATCAGATCTTCAGTCATTTGGGCTGTGTCCCAAATGGCAAACTATTCCCTTTATAGTGCACTACTTTTGACCAGGGCCCATAGGGTGCCATTTGCGACGCGGCCCTGGTTTCCTCCAGTTAGGGTTTGGAGCAGAGCCAGAGATGGGCATCCACAAGCCTATTTATGCCTACTATAAGTGTATCCGGAGTTGGTGTGAAAAGCTTAGTTTGCATTTTTGACCCCATTCTGATCCCCTCCCTTCCCCTGTGGCCCAGGGCCAGAGGATTGTGGCTGAGTGTCTGTGGATGACCTGTGGCTGACTGCCTGTGGATTCAACAGCATGATCTACAGCAAGCTGATTAAAAATTATGACATTTGTTTGCCATACTAATATAACTCAAAGCTATCTAAAATGTATCTGACCAGTTTCCTTGTTTATTAGTATCAGGAAATGGACTGGTACAGTGAATGTAAAAAGGGTGGCAGGTAGCCTAGTGGTTAAGAACGTTGGGCCAGTAAATGAAAGGTCGCTGGTTCGAATCCAAGATCTGATTAGGTGTAAAGTCTGTCGATGTTCCTTTGAGCAAGGCAATTAACCCTAATTGCTCCTGTAAGTCGACTAAATGACAAAAATATATAAATAAACAAACATGTTGCAAATGGGCATTTCCATGTAAAAAGCCCCATGAGCACAAACCTGTGGAGTTCATAGGAGCATATCAAATTTGGTGTCAAATGAAAGCGAAGAGTCTATATTTGTGAGAAATTAAGGCATATATAAATGTTTCTACCATTTTCCATCCGAAAAATGTGTAATAAGCAAAGGTTTTGATTTCTGGTCAAACAGATGGAAAAGGGCTTAGACAACATCTACCAGAAAAAGTCTTAAAAGATATTAGAAATACATAAAAACACAATGTTGAAGTAAAGACCCCTGCCAACTAATATCAACATTTATATTTAATTTTGCTGAAATTATTTGCCTTCTGTAAGTTTAAGAAATTTTGCCTAGTGTCATTCTGTTACCAAAAACCCACATATCTTTAAGATATTTTCTAATTTCTCTCCATCATGAGGAGGGAGGTTAATGAAAGTTCACAGAAGTTACAAGTAAAGGTAGACCTACCAATTAGTTATAGTGTTTTTACTGATAACAATGCGATTTATATGATTTATTAAGTGATTAAAACACATCATTCGTAAGCAATGACCCAAAAATATGTAACAGAATGACTGCAACTGAATTGGCTACAATGGGAATTCATAGTAGTCACAAACCACAGTTGGGTCACCTGCTACTGTCCTCCCTTCCACTGGCATACTTTAATGTTCAGCTCATAACTGTTTTCTTTCTGTTGCAAGGTGGTCAAACCAAGAGTGTGAAAACAGTCTGGAAAACTCCTCCCTGTCTCTCATCTCTCTCTCTCTCTCTCTCTCTCTCTCTCTCTCTCTCTCTCTCTCCAGTTAATGTCTCCTCTCCCGGCTCTTACTGACACCTACCCATGATCCCCTCTCTTTCCATTTACTGTAACCAGCCCTCTCACCCACTGAGCACCAGCCCGACACCGGACGTCCATGGACGTTGAAAAGTATTTAACCTTTACGGGATCTGTGTCCCTTATACGGGACTGTTGTTGCTCGATATGTGACTAGAATGGTGTTGTAAACAACAGCCAACTTTCCGGGACATAGACATGTCTTTATATGGGCAGAAAGCTTAAATTCTTGTTAATCTAACCGCAGTGTCCAATTTACAGTAGCTATTACAGCTAAAAAAAATACCATGCTATTGTTTGAGGTATAGTGCACAACAACAAAACACTTTTATCACGGCAACTGGTTTTGTACATTCACCTCTGATCTAGATGTGTGAAGGCTAGTGTATTTTCTGTAGGGAAGCTAATGATCCATCATTTATGACATTCCTGGGAGTGTGCAAACTTACATTTTGTATTACCATAGCATTTTTGTATGTTCTCTATAGTTATGTACTTGAAAACCAATTCGGCACATTTGGGAAAACTCATGGCAGACTTCATACAAAATATTGTGTTGTGATGTAATTCTTCACTGGATCAGTCTGAAACTTTGCACACACACTGCTGCCATCTGGTGGACAACATCTAATTTACATCTAGAATCCTACATCACTGTCTGGCCTTTCTCTTGCATTTCAAAGATGATGCAACAAAAATATACAGTGGGGAGAACAAGTATTTGATACACTGCCGATTTTGCAGGTTTTCCTACTTACAAAGCATGTAGAGGTCTGTAATTTTTATCATAGGTACACTTCAACTGTGAGAGACGGAATCTAAAACAAAAATCCAGAAAATCACATTGTATGATTTTTAAGTAATTAATTTGCATTTTATTGCATGACATAAGTATTTGATACATCAGAAAAGCAGAACATAATATTTGGTACAGAAACCTTTGTTTGCAATTACAGAGATCATACGTTTCCTGTAGGTCTTGACCAGGTTTGCACACTCCTCCATACAGACCTTCCCCAGATCCTTCAGGTTTTGGGGCTGTCGCTGGGCAATACGGACTTTCAGCTCCCTCCAAAGATTTTCTATTGGGTTCAGGTCTGGAGACTGGCTAGGCCACTCCAGGACCTTGAGATGCTTCTTACGGAGCCACTCCTTAGTTGCCCTGGCTGTGTGTTTCGGGTCGTTGTCATGCTGGAAGACCCAGCCACGACCCATCTTCAATGCTCTTACTGAGGGAAGGAGGTTGTTGGCCAAGATCTCGCGATACATGGCCCCATCCATCCTCCCCTCAATACGGTGCAGTCGTCCTGTCCCCTTTGCAGAAAAGCATCCCCAAAGAATGATGTTTCCACCTCCATACTTCACGGTTGGGATGGTGTTCTTGGGGTTGTACTCATCCTTCTTCTTCCTCCAAACACGGCGAGTGGAGTTTAGACCAAAAAGCTATATTTCTGTCTCATCAGACCACATGACCTTCTCCCATTCCTCCACTGGATCATCCAGATGGTCATTGGCAAACTTCAGACGGGCCTGGACATGCGCTGGCTTGAGCAGGGGGACCTTGCGTGCGCTGCAGGATTTTAATCCATGACGGCGTAGTGTGTTACTAATGGTTTTCTTTGAGACTGTGGTCCCAGCTCTTTTCAGGTCATTGACCAGGTCCTGCCGTGTAGTTCTGGGCTGATCCCTCACCTTCCTCATGATCATTGATGCCCCACGAGGTGAGATCTTGCATGGAGCCCCAGACCGAGGGTGATTGACCATCATCTTGAACTTCTTCCATGTTCTAATAATTGCGCCAACAGTTGTTGCCTTCTCACCAAGCTGCTTGCCTATTGTCCTGTAGCCCATCCCAGCCTTGTGCAGGTCTACAATTTTATCCCTGATGTCCTTACACAGCTCTCTGGTCTTGGCCATTGTGGAGAGGTTGGAGTCTGTTTGATTGCGTGTCTGGACAGGTGTCTTTTATACAGGTAACGTGTTCAAACAGGTGCAGTTAATACAGGTAATGAGTGGAGAACAGGAGGGCTTCTTAAAGAAAAACTAACAGGTCTGTGAGAGCCGGAATTCTTACTGGTTGGTAGGTGATCAAATACTTATGTCATGCAATAAAATGCAAATGAATTACTTAAAAATCATACAATGTGATTTTCTGGATTTTTGTTTTAGATTCCGTCTCTCACAGTTGAAGTGTACCTATGATAAAAATTACAGACCTCTACATGCTTTGTAAGTAGGAAAACCTAAAAGAAAAGAAAAGTAGAGTATAGGTCAGTAGAGTACTATACAGTAGAGCACACTATAGAGTACAGTATAATTTAGTGTACTGAACTCTGCTGTACTGTACTGTGTTGACCTCTACTGTGCTGTGCTGTGCTGTACTGTCCAAACTTGTGGAACATAGACGTCTAGGATTGTTACAGATTTGTTCTGGTCCAGACCAGGTGTTAAAGCACTTCACTTACTATTAGGGCTGGGAATTGCCAGGGACCTCACAATATGATATTATTGCGATTCTCACGATTCTATATGTATTGAGTCGATACTGCGATTTTTATTGTGATTTACATTTTCCAAACCCAGATAACACGCACACCTTTGGCCGACGTATCAAATTCCGTGAGGGAATATGTAGTTTGGAGAGCGTTTGCACATTGGGAAGTTTTTTTAAATTTGTATTTTTTTTAAATAGCATACAACAACAAAATACTAAACAATATGATGGTTTAAAAGGTAAACAAAAAGAAAGTGCAGGAGAGGTAAGAAACCCAGAGGGGCTTGTAGTCACCCTTCTCCCCTTTCAATGCTTATAAAACAAAAACTGATTTTTTTAAAGAGAAACAAATAATTTTAGGTTTACACAAAGAAGAAGGAAAACAGATGGTGAATAAGGGGGTAAAGAAGAAAAAATAAATGCAAGTACAGGGGGGGAGGGAGAAGTTATTTGATTTAAACCAGTTGTCAACATTATTTTGTTCCAAATTCATTTTACCCATAAGTTTTTGACCGTCTTTATCGTTACAGGAAGATGTTGGTGTCATCAGCAAACAATATAAAAAATACACAATCAGAAATTAAATACAGTCATTAACATAGATCAAAAAGAGTTACTGACAAAGGATCGAACCTTTCGGTTTTATACTCAGAAACTCTTTGTCCATGCAACAAACTGTTTCCTATTGGACAGGTAACTCCTAAACCAATCTAGTTCTGTATTTAGGAGCTCATACGTGCATAGCTTCTGCAGTAGTATTTCGTGGTCAACTCTATGGAAAGCTTTTGAAAGGTCAATAAAAACACCAATGATCATTTAGTTGTTGTCAACAGCATTTGAGATATTATTCAATAGTTGTACGAGTGCCATGGATGTAGGATGTTGGGCTTTAGGTGAGACATCAGAATAGAATGTTGATGTCTAGCGACGTATAAACAATGTTGACATTTTGAATGTTGGCATTCTAAATACATCTGCGAGACGTCTTGCCAATGAGAAAACACTGTCTAAACGGCATTTTCCCGATGTATCCTTTATACGTTGTGCCTACGTTGGGCAGACGTACACTGAGTGTTCAAAACATTAGGAACACCTTAATATTGCTCTCAGAACAGCCTCAATTTGTCAGGCCATGGACTAGAAGGTGTTGAAAGCATTCCATAGGGATGCTGGCCCATGTTGACTCCAATGCTTCCCTCAGTTGTCAAGTTAGCTGGATGTTCTTTGCGTGGTGAACCATTCTTGATACACACGGGAAACTGTTGAGCGTGAAACTCAGCAGCGTTGCAGTTCTTGACACACTCAAACCGGTGCACCTGACACCTGCTACCATACCCCGTTCAAAGGCACTTAAATATTTGGTCTTGCCCATTCACCCTCTGAATGGCACACATACACAATCCATGTCTCAATTAGGGCTGTGGTGGTCACGAAATTTCGTCAGCCGGTGATTGTCAAGCAAATAGCTATTGGTCTCACGGTAATTGACCGTTAATTAACATAAACACATTTAGCATCTCCTGGCTTCCACACATAGCCTACAAGCCAAGTTTAATAAATCCATGTAATATAGCCTACACCTTCGCAATATAGCCATTATTTATTTTAGACAGGTCTAAAGAAACATGATATGAAGAAAATGTATTCTATTTCAGAAGAACAGAATAGCATACTCTGAGTTGTCCTTATGTTAGGTCCTGATCTGGCTATGCCATATGGCTGTGGGTTACACTAGTTCATTTAGCAGACAAGATTTGCTTATAATTCCGTGGCATTATTTTATATTATTTTATAGTATGAAGAATACAATTGAATAAAGCTGAATAAAATAGAAATATTTTCTCCAAATGATTTGAGGGAGTGGGCACATTCTGTGTTGAGCGGTTAACAAATAAATAGGTATTCCTATATGCTTAATTTAGAGTTATTAATCTAACTTTAGTTGTTCTACAAATGTTGGGCTATATGTTTTGATTTTGAATACATTGTAAGGCTGCATGATGAGACTCTAATGATGATTTGAAAAAAGTCGCTTGAAAGGCATGAGCTCTGCTTTATTTATTTATTTTATTGTTTTGTACTTTTACCCCTTTTTCTCCCCAATTGGTAGTTAGTCTTGTCCCATCGCTGCAACTCCCCTATGGACTTGGCAGAGGCGAAGGTTGAGAGTCATGCGTCCTCCGAAACGTGACCCTGCCAAGCCGCGCTGTTTCTTGACCCACTGCTCGTTTTAACCTGGAAGCCAGCCACACCAATGTGTCGGAGGAAACACCGTCCAGCTCGCGACCGAAGTCAGCTTGCAGGCGCCTGACCCGCCACAAGGAGTCGCTAGAGCGCGATGGGACAAGGAAATCCCGGCCGGCCAAACCCTCCCCTAACCCGGACGATGCTGGGCCAATTGTGTGCCGCCTCATGGGTCTCCTGGTCACGGCCGGCTGTGACACAGCCTGGGATTGAACCCGGGCCTGTAGTGACGCTTCAATCACTGCAATGCAGTACCTTAGACCGCTGCGCCACTCAAGAGGCCCTTCTGCTTTGTTTTTTGCACAGGCTATACACACTCCAATAGTCTCTCATTCACAATTTGACAAGCACTTGATAATGCCTCAAATTTTACAGCGGCATCCCCTATGTGGCCGTAATGCACCCTAAAAAAAACATGCCTTTTGTAGGCCGGAGTGCTGCGTTGTACCCTTCTCCCTGAGTGTGCTGCGCAATCTGAAGTGTCTCTTACTCACACGGCTCTCCGTCATGTGATCTGGTCTTTCTCACAGGCTACAAGTTAAGACAGACACATCGTGGACGCAGCTGCGCTCGTCCTTATTCAATTCCGAGGTGCATATTGAAGATATTGGAAGAACTGTCCACATTTACTTTTCGTCAGCCAACAAGATGAGTAGGCCTAACGAACAGCAAAAGCACTAGCCTATGTCAATCTACTATCCCCCATAGTACAAAAGTTGACCTATTCGGTGCGAGAAATAGATATTCCAAACATAGTCTGGGACAGTTGTGGGATGCGATAGATCCCAAATGAATACAACCTCTATCATCAAAAAAACTTTTTTATGCAATATGGCTGACACAACTGATCAGAAAGTTTAGCTTAAAATTATAAGCTTTTATTATAAAGCTGCATTATTATGGTGAAAATTATCTTCCCCAAACTTGAAACTCACATGCTGCTTATATATGCCAGTTAGGCTCTACACCCCTTGTAAAGTAGATTAATGTGGTTTTCTCTACAGACATAACAGTGATATTAAAAGCATCTTGTGCGGTCAACATTGTGTTGCAACCTCACGTAGGCATATGCGGTCAAGTCATCATGTGCCAATGCCAATCGCCTACGCACCTTGGGTAGAACGCAGCGATAGGTGGGCAGAGCATTGGCCAAAGCAGCCTGGTAGGATGCCAATGTGGCAGGCTGCTGTCATCTGGGCTGTATATTTATGGCAGTGGGCGCAGCAGGGTGGGTCTGTTGATTGGGTGTGGGCTTGTTGATTAACAATGTGGTAACACACTGTGGTGAAAGAGGCCATTTTGAATCCATTTATAACTACAGTATGTGTAATTACTATTTAATAAAATATTAATCGTAAATTCAAACACAAACTGTTATGGTCACTCTATGAAAGGGGAGACTCTCACGAACACGATGGTGTTCTCCGTTTTGCTCTATGACCCACACAAGCGTCTGAAGGTAACCCATACAAACGAATGGAAGTATGTCAAATATTTCCTTAGCTATCTTATATCTCCTAGACATAGGACAGACACTTCAAAACCTTATTCCTTATGATTTTTTTTTTTCAGTCTATTTTGCCAGTTATGAATGTGTTAATCAATGCGTTTCTATGAACTATAGTAGTAAAAGCCTAATTTAATATTTTATCAAATAAAACATTGGAATACCTAAAGGGGTCCTAAAATTCCAAATGAAATAGCTAAATGATCCATGGTATGACCATCTTAAAACAATTCCATATATTAGCTTAGTACCCCCTCTCCACCCCAACTTTTTGAGATGAATGGATAATATAAATGGGAAACAAATACATAACAGAAGGCTACAGCAACATTAGTTTCCATTGGATTCCAGTGTATTATTAGGCCTAGCCATTATATACTGTGTGATCATTATATTATACAAGCCTATCATGTTTTGCTGACGAGCACAGACTGGGTCGTTCCACCTCAAAAAGCACAAGAGATTGTTCTGAAATTGTTTCTGTTAGAAACAGATACAATTAGCATTCCAACAACATTATTTTGTTGAAATAAAATGTGATCTCTGAGCAATTAAGCTAATTGATTGCACCCAAATTGGCAATTTTACAGCATTGTTGGTTAAGGGCTTGTAAGTAAGCATTTCACTGTAATGTCTACACCTGTTGTATTCGGCGCATGTGGCAAATAAGATTTGATTTGATGTGATTTAAAATCCGATTTGGACCAAACTTTTTTCTAGGTATGGTACTGCATTGTATACAAACACCACTTCCAGCTGCCAACTGGCGCCGATTCTAAATATTTCTTCAGCCATTCAAATCCTCCTGCAGAAGGATTATTTTACTCCTGTACAGTGTGGCTTGAGAAGTGGTGATGATCAAATATTGCTTATGCCTATTCTGTACATACAAATAAGTTAAATGTCAATCTTACATGAGGGAAATACAGCGCATCCTGTAAAAGATCAATGCTGATCAAGCGTGCCTTTGAAGTGGGAGATTAGATAAGGTTCATTAAGTGACTGTCAGATATTAACAAGTGGAATGGGTTTGGGTGCATCGTACAATTGAATACTACAGTAGATGTGTAGCCGTTGAACCTCTCAGGTTTTCTGAGGGTTTCACGGTAACAGCTGATCTTTGTACTGTTCAGTATTCTTCTGACTCCGTAGAGACAGGAAGGGCAGCCCTCCTGTATCTGTCAAGAACAGGTTCGACCACTGTGTGCTGCACTTTTGCCTCTTGTGTTATCTGTACATCAGGGGAAAAGGGATTGGGATGAGCTAGCTTGTGTGTGCTTAGCTCTGAGCTGCAATGTGTGACTAACTATTCTCTTTCTGGCCGTATTCTGGGCTGAGCAGTCATCTCAGTGCTGTGTTAATGCGTACTCACTGCTAATCTGAGGCGGAAGGAATGGGAGCCCAGGGCTTGTCTGTCTCTGTCTGCTCTGCCAGACTGGAACACAGATGCAAACAGTGCTGCTGCTGCTCCGCTCAGAGTCAGTCTGGCCTTTTCCCTGACTCAGTGTCCTCATAAGTCTGATAGCAGCACATGCTCCTGGCAGTCGGCTCCCCCTCCCTCTCCCAAATCTTTCTCTCTCTCTTTGGCTCTGTCCTTCTCTCTCACATCTTATTGCTCATGCCCTCTCTCCCAATCCCCCACTCCAAATCTCTTTTGTTGTCAGTCCCATCCCCCCTCCCCCTTGTCTCGCTTTTTTATTAATCCATCTCTTCACTCCGGCAGTATTTCTGCTCCTCGCCCCCCCTTTTCTTTTTACATCATCATGACACAGTTGGTCAGGGCAGCAGGTTTTTAGCAGTCAGGCGTTATGTGACATCAGTGCTATAGAATTTTAGTTTACATAAGATCCATATCCGTGTATTTAATAAATGAAAACCGGTATCCATTCAGGGTTTTAAAAAATGGGGATGCATAGCTTTGCAAAACAGCTGCCAATCCTCCCCACGCAGGGTCATTCTAAATCTCCTGTGACGTTTTGCGGCCATAGAGAGCTTGGCTGGCTCCGAAACATCTAAAGTATTCACGATAATAGCTACATGTAGTAATTATGGCTGGAGAAGACACATGCCATGTTTATGCTTGTTCCTCCTCAGTTCTGGCATCTGCGGGGCTTGTGAGATCTCTCGTGTGTTTGTCTCCCCCTGCAGATCAGTCAAGGTAATGTCCCAGGCGTTGAGAGTGCTTCGCTGGCCATGGACACAGAGGAGGGAGTGGAGGTGGTGTGGAATGAGGTGCTCTTCAATGACAGGAAGGTCTTCAAGGCACAGGAGGTATGGCAAAGTCAGACAGAGGCTGTGCACCCTATTCCCTATATAGTGCACTACTTTTGACCAGGGTCCATAGGGCACTATATAGGGAATAGGGTGCCATTTGGGATGCAGACAGAGTTTCTATTGTCAATGGCTATATGTTCCATTCAGAGGAGGCTGGTGGGAGGAGCTATGGGAGGATGGGCTCATTGTAATGGATTAATCAATGGAACGGAGTCAAACGTGGTTCCCAAATGTTTGATGTGTTTGATACTGTTCCATTTATTTCATTCCAGCCATTACAATGAGCATGTCCTCCCATCAGCCTCCTCTGGTTCCATTCTATGTACTTCTCCAGAGCGAGCTCACAAATGGAAGTAGAAGTCACTGATTTATAAGTGCATATTTTGGCGAACCACCTACTACTGTACATATGTACTCAAACCTCTCCCCACCCCATCTGTTTTTCAGGAAAAGATAAAGGAGATGTTTGAGAACCTAATGCAGGTTGAGCACCCAAATATAGTCAAGTTCCATAAGTACTGGCTGGACATGAGAGAGAGTCGAGCTCGGGTAAGTCTGCTATCTATACTGAACAAAAATACAAACGCAACATATAAAGTGTTGGTCCCATGTTTCATGAGCTGAAATAAAAGATCCCAGAAATGTTCCATACGCACATAAAGCTTATTTCTCTCAAATGTTGTGCACACATTTGTTTACATCCCTGTTAGTGAGCATTTCTCCATTGCCAAGATAATCCATCCACCTGACAGGTGTGGCATATCAAGAAGCTGATTAAACAGCATGATCATTACACAGGTGCACCTTGTGCTGGGGACAATAAGGCCACTCTAAAATGTGCAGTTTTGTCACACAACACAGTTTTGATGGAGCGTGCAATTGGCATGCTGACTGCAGGAATGTCCACCAGAGCTGTTGCCAGAGAATTGAATATTAATTTCTCTACCATAAGCCGCCTCCAATGTCGTTTTAGAGAATTTGGCAGTACGCCCAACCGGCCTCAACCGCAGACCACGTGTAACCACGCCGGCCCAGGACCTCCACATCCGGCTTCTTCACCTGCGGGATCATCTGTGGAGGGGGGAGGGGGGGTGCTGAGGAGTATTTATGTCTGTAATAAAGCCCTTTTGTGGGGAAAAACGAATTCTGATTGGCTGGGCCTGGCTCCCCAGTCGGTGGGCCTATGCCCTCCTAGGTCCACCCATGGCTGTGCCCCTGCCCAGTCATGTACAATCCACAGATTAGGGCCTAATGAATGTATTTAAATTGACCGATTTCCTTCTATGAACTGTAACTCAGTAAAATCTTTGAAATTGTTGCATGTTGCGTTTTATATTTTTGTTCATTATAGATCAATGTCTATGCCCTACCATTCTCACTCACTCTCGGGAAATGTTTCTCTCCCCGTCTCTTAGATCTCTTGGTTTGGTCTGCAGACTGATAGTATCTCTCTCTGCTATCTGTTGACAGGTCATCTTTATCACAGAGTACATGTCCTCAGGAAGCCTAAAGCAGTTTCTCAAGAAAACCAAGAAAAACCATAAGACCATGAATGTCAAGGTCAGTGTATCTCTCCCATAGGGGAAATACCCTCTGACATCTGTGACACTAGTCAGTTAATTACATCCTTGTTGATTCCCACAGTACCATGAGGTGGGTTGTGTTCAGTAGGGAGAAAAGGTTTGAAACGGGTAGGGAATACCTGAACTGCCCCTTTCAGTTGGTCAGCTCCGTATGGGAAGAGTGGGCTAAATTGAGCCAAAGGGGTAAGTTGAGCCACCCTTGTTTCTAGGAAACCATACACAAAATTAATCATTTGACCAAATATTTAGGAAGAGGTCATCATTTCATGGAGTTTGTGAAGGAATACACCATATGGAAAAAGTGGTAAGCAAGTTAGGTCCAAATAAACATTTCCACCAAGTCAAATGTATTTATTATATTAGAAGTTTCATGATGCCTGTATCTAAACCAAAGTAGATAATTTTATGATTGTTCTATACATCATTTGGGGTCTCTATAAGCTTCAATATGAGGTCCTAAACATAGCAAGAAAGTGCATCCTTGTAGCTGTGTGGGCCCAATATAGTGTTTTCTTCCCAGGTGTAATGCAAGGCATTATCACTGGGATATGAGGTAACAACAGGCCCTGGCCTATGTTAAAGGTGTTTTAGAAAGTACAAAGTGTTTGTTAGGTGTTAAGCCTGTGTTAAAAGATGCTTAAAATTATTAAAAGACAAAAAAGTTATTGTGTTTGGGAAATAAAGATGGACATGGTTTTTAAAAAGGTAGTGGTAATATTAACTTACCCTGTCCCGCTGCTCAATTTACCCCATACCCAGGGTAAGTTGTGCCAAGAGACCACTTTATTTTGGACAAGCTATGTTTTTAAAACTGTAATGTTTACATTAATTCTGATTATTTCCAGGGATACACAACATCCTGAAATATATGTAGATATCTTTGTTATAAAGAACACTATATTTCCCTTGACGGAGAGATGCTGAATACAACACAGTAATGGGGAGTTCGCACACTAGCACCCTCTACTGAAGAACATTAGAATCATGCCTGACAAGGCCAATGAACATGATTAATTCCTTCAGTTCTTCCGCTCTTCACCTCGAGCTGAGCAGAACAATACAGGTATTTCTTAAACAAACATTGGAATGCGACATTTATCAGGCTTTACTCCAACTTAACTGTCCCACTTAAGGAGGGTGAGCTCATCCTTCTGGACATTGTGTGTTCAAGTTTGGTAGCTAGTTTCGTGAAGTTCCCTACCAATTTGTTAGTTATTCTTCTGCCTGTTTAGCCTCGCTAACTGGTTGTAATCAGGGTTGGGTAGGGTACTTTCTAAATGTAATCCATTACATTTACTAGTTACCTATCCAAAATTGTAATCAGTAACGTAACTTTTGGATTACCCAAAAGCAGTAACGTAATCTGATTAGTTTCCATGACTTTTGGATTACGTTCCCCTTAAAAGGCATTAGAAGAAGACAAAATGGATCCATCAAACGCATTTGGTGTGTCCTCATGGTCTCTGATTGGTGGTCATCATTTGGTGTGTCATCATGGTCTCTGATTGGTGGTCATCATTTGGTGTGTCATCATGGTCTCTGACTTGTGGTCAGACTCACTCAGGTGCAACAAACTTTTTGCTGAATTGAATGTCATTGAGAAAACAGAAAGGTGTCATAATGTATTTTATTCTCGCAAACATCCTTTCTGAAGATGTAATATTTCTAAGGTATCTGTAATCTGATTACTTGTAACATAACCGATTACAGTTCGTTTTTTTAAAAATCAAATTACATGTAACTCCCCAACCCCGGTTGTAAGTAAGATGACTAGCACGAACAAGTCAACAAAGTCTGTTAAGCCAGGTCACGACCTTGCCCAAATGGGTGCATGCTCAGGCTGGGTGCATGCTCAGGCTGCCCTGGATCGAACCAGCTTTTGCGTGTAGCCTTCCTTAGAAGGCTTGGTGGGACTGAAGTTGAATTTCCTTCCCCAGGTGCCTGAACCTCGGCGGAGTCTGAGTTGCAGGATACGTGGGTGGATCTGGGCTCGTTATTTGGATCACATGTAGCTATCCTCCCAGCGTGGCGACATAGAGCCGGCTGATATCTCGGTGTCCTTCGGTGTTACACAGGACTCACGTTCGGATGACGACGTTGTGTCTCTGGCCGCTTCCGTTTTTTTATCTGAGACAGAGTTGGAGGGTTTGGCTTCAGGGCAACCACACGTCCCTGCTACAGGTGGAATAGCAGGGGAATCCCTGGGTTCTAGCGCGGCTCTCATTGATCTATTCACATCCAATAGTTCACTTTTTTCAGACAATCTTTCAGAAAAGTTGTTTAACAATTTTTTTTCAGAAATATAAAATAGAGATCCAGCAACAAGCTTTACACTCTCAGAAAAAAAGGTGCTATGTAGAACTATATAGGTTTTGTCACCATAGGGGAACCCGTTTTGGTGCTAGGTAGAATCCTTTGCAGAGGGTTCTACCTAGAACCCTCTTATCTAGGGTTCTTCATAGAACACCCTGTAAATGGTTCTACCTAGAACCCTCTATAAAGGATTCTACTGAGAACCCTTTTATCTTTGAAAGGTTCTTCCTAGAACCCTTTATGAACGGTTCAACTCAATATTAGGAAGGTGTTTCTAATGTTTGGTATACTCAGTGTATGTTACTTATCTTTGTGTAGCATAAGATTAATCAACCATTCAATACAGGCAAAAACACAGGTATTGAAACAATTCTGAAAATCAACTTGCAATAAAGCATGCTGGGTAATATGATAATAAGGGAGTAGTTTTTAGTGTTTACTTGTCAGTGGAGTGGCCGTCCTCCCAGCCTGCGCGGAAGGCATCCAGGTTTGGTGGGAAATACCTGCCACCGGTGCTAGCCGCAGTCAAGCACCGCCTGCCTCTGTTTCCAGACTTCATCAATGAGCTTAAGATGACCTGGGCCCAGCTGCATTCAGCCAAGCTGATATTGCATGGGTATGGAGGGGGCCGGGCTTGTCCACACTCCTCCAGTGGATTGGAAGCTAGCCGGCTGCCTAGCCCCATGGGCTAACAAAGGGATGGCTAACCCCAACCCATCGTTCCCAAATAAGCACTGTCGTTTTTCCGGGTCCCGGTTTGACTGGCCCTGGTTTACTGGGCCCAGGGGGTGGACGCCTGGTCCCTGAACACGGTCACAGTGCTGCAGGTTTACCAGACTGAGCTGTTGGCTGACCTGGCCACAGTTCTGGCTAATGGGGAGCAGAGCTTTTAGATGAGATTTGTGCTACGGATGATTTTTGTCTTGTCCCGTTGCACTGTCTCTTGGCGCTCGGAAGAAGCATGGAGGCTACGGTGGTGGCACAGTGGCACCTTTGATTGACTTTGTCGCAGGTGCCGGAGAGAGAGAGAGGTAGTTATACTTGGACGACTCGATTTCTCCTATGAGGTTGTTCGGCTCGGCCCTGGAGTCTATGCAGTCTCATTTTGTGAAGAAAAAAGAAGCAGGAGGCGGCGCTGCGCGTTTTCCTTCCTTGGAGGACCTTTGCTGCTGCGGCAGCATCATCTTCTAGAGGGTCTGCAGACAGAGGTACGGCGGCTAAGCGGGTTGCCCTGGAAGTCTGCTCCTGCTTCCACAAATTCTCCCAGTCCACAAGGTGGCGTTCCGCCCCTTCAGATGGCACTTTACGGGAGACTCGCTGTCTGTGTCGACCAATGGCGCCCTTTATTATGTGAAAAGTGATGTTTGGGGTACAGGCTACAATTCGTTGTACGTCCCCCACGTTTTTACGCCGCCATTACGTCGACTGTTCCCGAGGCCTCAGCGCCCGTTTTGAGGGAGGACATTCCTTCCCTTCTCCAGAAGCAGGCAGTCCGAGTGGTACCTATGTCAGAGGCCCATGACAACTGGTACAGCTGGGATTTCCTGGTTCCCAAAAGGGGGGTCCGTCCAATTTTAGACCTGAGTGCCCTAAACAAGCGCCTCAGGGTCTACAAATTCAGAATGCATGAACAGCCTGTTGTACAGTCAGTGTGCCCGGGCGATTGGTTCACCTCCATCGACCTGAAGGATGCGTACTTTCATGTGGCCATATATCCCCCTCACAAAAAGTTTCTGAGGTTCCATTTCAAGGCTGTAGCATACTGGTCCTCCCTTTTGGCCTTTCCCTCTCGCCTCGCACTTTCACCAAAGTTGTGAAGAGGGGTTTGGCACATATGTGTTGCACACATTACATTTGACATTTTAGTAATTTACCAGACGCTCTTATCCAGAGCGACTTACAGTTAGTGAGTGCATATATTTTTATACTGGCCCCCCTGGCGCCCTGTGGGAATCGAACCCACAACCCTGGCGTTGCAAGCGCCATGCTCTACCAACTGAGCTACACGGGGCCATGCTGGTTTCCTATGTTCAGTCTCTGGATTTCATAGAGAATCAAGAGAAGAGCTGTTTCACTCCATCTCAGCACAATCTATTTCTGGGTCTCAAGTTAGACTCAGGCGAGAATTGTGCATTCTTGTCCCCACAGAGGGAGACGGGTCTCCGTCTTTGCTTGGCCCTATTTTTTTTTCACTTTTTTCCGCATTTATTTAACCAGGTAAGCCAGTTGAGAACAAGTTCTCATTTACAACTGCGACCTGGCCAAGATAAAGCAAAGCAATTTCGGATGGGTGACAATGCATTTTCACCAGTGCTCGCGCCTATTGGGGATGATGGCTTCTATGATAGCCGTGGTTCCCCTCGGCTGTTGCTGATGCGACCTTTCCAGTGGTGGGTGATAGACACTCGCTTGGACACCTAGCCCCACCTAAACCGGTCACTCCGGGTGTCCACGTCATGCCTACGGGTTCTGGCTCGGTGGAGGGACCCGCGGTTGTTGTCGCTGGGGACGCCCATGGGTCAAGTTATATCCCGCAAGGTGATCACGACACACACATTTCCCCGATGGTTGTGTGCGCTGTGTGAGGGCAGCTCAATTTGGGGGTTGGGGACAGTGATGCTGAGCGCACTGCATATCAGTTACCTGGAGCGGTTGGCGGTGTGCATAGCGCTCAGGCGTTTTCTCCCGTTGTTGGCAGGCCAGCTGGTGAGGACCAACAACGGGACAGTGGTGGCGTACATCAACAGACTTATCCTTAGCTCTCTCTCTACTGCTGTGGAGCAGTGCGCACTTTCCCTAGCTCCTAGTAACTCATCTTCCCAGGCGCTTCAACACGGGCGCGGATCTGCTATCCATGGGGGGCCCCCACTCTCAGGAGGCTGCACACCTGGGTGGTCTCCCAGATATGGGAAATATTAGTCGGGGCCAACGTGGATGTTTACGCATCGCAAGAAAATGAGCATTGTCTGCAATTTTTCTCGATAAGGGACCTGAGTGCTCCATTGGGAACGGATGCTCACGTGCACCAGTGGCCTCTGACCCTCCTTTACGCCTTTCCTCCTGTGGAGCTGATTCAGCGTCAGGAGGGCTTGCCGTTGCCTTGTGGCTCCCCGTTGGCCCGAACGACCTTTCCTATGTTCAGTCTCTGGGTTTCATTGTGAATAATTTCTGTACTTTCATGTCGCGGAGATCATTGGCCTTTTGGGCGGGGACTCGTGGCAACTCCCGTTGCGCAGGAACCTGTTGTCCCAGGCGCATGGGCATGTCTGGCACCTGCAGCCGGCAATTTGGAATCCAATCTGATGGCAAGGAGTTTATAGCTGAATGCTATTGCGACTATACAGTCTGCAAGGGCACCCTCCATGAAAGGGTTGTATGGATATAAATGGCGGGCATTCATGCTTTGGTGCCAAAATAAAGGAATTGTTCCTTTTCAGAGCTCTCTGGTGGACATTTTAATGTTCTTACAGGGGCTTTTCGAGCAGGGCTGTTCATTCTCCACCCTGAAGGTGTATATGGTAGCTATTTCAGCGTGTCATGTGGAAATTGATGGTGCCACTCCAGTGGCTCATCCCCTTGCGGTGCGGTTTTTAAAAGGTGTGTGCCGTCTCAGGCCGGTTTCTAAACCTATTGAGCCCACTTGGGATATGACTTTGGTTTTGGATGTGCTGTGTGAGGCCCCCTTTGAACTGATGGAGTCTGTGGATCTGAAGATCCTCTCCTACAAGACCGTACTGCTCGTGGCTTTGGCCTCGGCTTAACGCTTTGGAGATCTCCACACGTTAATCCGTTCACCCCACCCCGCCCTTGGCAACTCCAAGGTGACGTTGCGTCCTAATGCAGCCTTCACCCCTAAGGTCATGACTATGTCCTACAGGTCTCTAGATTTTGAACTTTTTCCATTTCTGCCTCCTCCGTTTGCTTCTGAGGAGCAGCGAACGTTACATGCCCTATGTCTGGTACGAGCGTTACGCATGTACATTGAGCAGACCAGGGGAGTCCATTTGTGCGACCAACTGTCTGTTTTGGTAAACCGGCTCGTGGTAGAGTGCTTTCTAAGCAGTGTATCTACCACTGGATTGTGGAGGCTATTGCTCTGGCATATGACAGCAAAAGGCAAGAATTACCTAACGGTAATCCCCCCCCCCAAAAAAAAAAAAAAACTAACGGTGTATGCGCCCACTCCACCAGTGGTCTGGCGGCGTCTTTGGTGTTGTTTAAAGGGTTGCCTGTAGGAGATATTTGTGCTGCGGTGAGTTGGGCATCATCACACACTTTTTTGTGAGGTTTTATCGCTTGGATGTCACTGCCCCCAGTGTAGCCTATATCGTGATTTCAGCTGGGGCATGAGAGGGTCATGAGGCAGCACGCAGATTTTCCTGTCAGGTTGGAATTCTGGGTGGGCCATTTCATTTGGTGTCCGCTTGGGACGTGATTTCGTATCCCCATTGCTGTGTTGTACCGGGTCGACCGACTGAAATGAAATGTTCCGTTATGACTATAACTACTGTTCCCTGAAGGAGGGAAACGAGGTACAACACCTGTTCGGCCTCGCGCCGCCTAGTTCTGGCCTCAGTGAAGTGGGGGTACTGAATTGGTTTGTGCTGTGGTGGAGACCTCTGTGGGCTATACTCGGCCTTGTCTCAGGATTGTAAGTTGGTGGTTGGGGATATCCCTCTAGTGGTGCGGGGGCTGTGCTTTGGCGGAGTGGGTGGGGTTATATCCTTCCTGTTTGGCCCTGTCCGGGGGTTTCTTCGGATGGGGCCACAGTGTCTCCGGACCGCTCCTGTCTCAGCCTCCAGTATTTATGCTGCAGTAGTTTATGTGTCGGGGGGCTGGGGTTAGTTGGTTATACCTGGAGTACTTCTCCTGTCTTATCCAGTGTCCTGTGTGAATTTAAGTATGCTCTCTCTAATTCTCTCGTTCTCTCTTTCTCTCTGAGAACCTGAGCCCTAGGACCATACGTCAGGACTACCGGGCATGATGACACCTTGCTGTCCCCAGTCCGCCTGGCCTTGCTGCTATTCCAGTTTCAACTGTTCTGCCTGCGGCTACGAAACCCCTACCTGTCCCAGACCTGCTGTTTTCAACTCTTAATGATCGGCTATGAAAAGCCAACTGAGAGACCTGAGCCCTAGGACCATACGTCGGGACTACCGGCCGTGGTGACTCCTTGCTGTCCCCAGTCCGCCTGGCCTTGCTGCTATTCCAGTTTCAACTGTTCTGCCTGCGGTTATGGAACCCCTACCTGTCCCAGACCTGCTGTTTTCAACTCTTAATGATCGGCTATGAAAAGCCAACTGAGATTTATTCCTGATTATTATTTGACCATGCTTGTCACTTATGAACATTTTTGAACATCTTGGCATGGTTCTGTTATAATCTCCACCCGGCACAGCCAGAAGAGGACTGGCCACCCCTCATAGCCTGGTTCCTCTCTAGGTTTCTTCCTAGGTTTTGCCTTTCTAGGGAGTTTTTCCTAGCCACCGTGCTTCTACACCTGCATTACTAGCTGTTTGGGGTTTTAGGCTGGGTTTCTGTACAGCACTTCGAGATATTAGCTGATGTAAGAAGGGCTATATAAAATAAAATTGATTGATTGATTGATGAATCCTTGTCAGGCGCTGTTCTAATGTTATTCAGTAGAGGGTGCTAGCGAGCCAACTCCCCATAGCTGTGTTTTTACCTTGTTTCCCTCCTTCAGGAAACAGTAGTTGCAGTCCTAACTGTATGTTTATTTCCTCGCAAACTTCAACCATATTCCACTTTTTAAGTGTCTGCTGTTCACTCTGTCATGTATTCCAGGCTTGGAAGAGATGGTGTACCCAGATTCTCTCAGCCCTCAGGTAAGACCAATAACTTTCTCTCATCCTCTCGATTATAGCCAATGGCAGGGTAAACTATTAATCTAGGAATGGGGTCTTTAACTCTTGTTCCAGTCTCTAACACATCTGATTCTACTAATCATGTTCCAGCAGCTCTCCAGGGCCAAAGTGTTCAGTCAGAGTTGGAGACCCAAAGTGTTCAGTCAAGTGAATGGATCTTCAATTGCCATCTTATTTATCCCCAGTTACCTGCACTCCTGTGAGCCGCCCGTCATCCATGGCAACCTGACCTGTGATACCATCTTCATCCAACACAACGGCCTCATCAAGATTGGCTCAGGTCTCACACCGCAAAGATGTTCTACCTAATCCTAACCCGAACCTAACTAAAACCTAACCCTGTCGTAACATGCATTAGGAACAGTTCAATTGTGACTTGAGAGCTTCATCTGAATAAATGGTAGCAAAAACAGTTCGCATTGCATGCTAGCAAACCCCTATACTGTACATTGTGTACTACAACTGCCCAAATATGTATTATCATTGTTCTTCTATCTTTGCAACTGAAGTTAATACTGGATACCCTGCTCTTTTCTATCCACAGTATGGCACCGGTTGTTTGTGAATGGTATGAACCATATAATGTGCCGCACATCTATCTTATTCGCAGTGAACGTCACAATATTCTGTGTAGTCTGGTGTCTGGGTTTCATTTTCTAGCTGCCTGTCTTGTCCTCCCAGTGTTTCTGGAGGCCAGTGTTCATGGTAAAGTCCGCGCACACCGAGACGAGCAGAGGAACCTGCACTTCTTCTCTCCTGAATACGGCTGTGAGTGTTTTACTGAGCCTTCCTCGACTTTGATAAAGTATATGTACTGTATGTCTGGTCTTCATGCTTTTATTAGTTGCCAGTTTCACTATGGAATTTCCCACCATGCTGTGACCAGGCAGTTAATATCATACATGTTATGTTCGAATAAACGCTGTTTCTCTCTCTCTATGTCTAGCAGCTGAGGATTACTATGCCATTGACATCTTCTCCTTCGGGATTTGTGCTCTAGAGGTGAGCACCCAGCTGCAATAGTTTATAAATGTATTATAAACCTTACTAGTGGCTCCATGTCCTTACGGACGGTAAGAAAAGTATTTAATTCTGATCAATGCATTTAGTATTTTAGGACAGTGAAGCACTGCTAGCAAATCTGAGCTTAAATATATAACATTTTACATTTTACATTTTAGTCATTTAGCAGACGCTCTTATCCAGAGCGACTTACAGGAGCAATTAGGGTTAAGTGCCTTGCTCAAGGGCACATCGACAGATTTTTCACCTAGTCGGCTCGGGGATTAGAACCAGCGACCTTTCGGTTACTGGCACTACGCTCTTAACCACTAAGCTACCTGCCGCCCAATTAAATGTGTAGGTCTACATGGTAGGCCTAATATGTTCTGTGACAATCCTTGCCACAGAAAGGATTACCATCAGGAAATGTAGAGTTTTTTCTTAATTTTTTTTTATTGCTCTCTAAAAGTTATTCTTTAAAAAAAGGGCTACATTACAGTGGTAAGGAAATAGGGCCTATAGCATTGTGAATTCCACAACAGTAGCACACACATCACCTGTCTAGCATTCATAATCAAAACAGTGGCTTCTGATACCCAAATACCTACCATGAACAGGCACACAAACATAACACCAAAATCCTGCTACAGACCTTCTTTACAGCACGTCTTTCAAAACAATATTTTGGGTGATGTATTTCCTTTGGAATTTACCTTGGGTTGAGGTTTGTTTGAATGACAAATAAGTATGTGAATGATCGAGCTCTGGAAAATGCCACACGAGAGAAGACTGGGGCAGGAAGGTATATGCCGACTTTGTCAAATGTTTGTCTTTATGCATTATTAATTGTCATTGAGTATGACCGACGCAGAGGAAATCGACTCATCTCAAGGGTGAATGGAAGATCTTAAAAAAGTAAAATATATTATAAATATTAGCATTATATAATTCATGACAATGGTTATGGAAATTAACAGAAACCATTCAAAGCATTTTACCGATGCCTGTTTATTAATGAAAAGCAAAATTCTAAACATTGGGCAAACATTGGGCACGGGAAGAAGTCAGAGGATCCTAGAAGTAAGGCTATTGTTTGTCAAATCTAGACTAAATCTAGGCCAACATGTACACTACCAGTCAAACGTTTGGACACAGCTCCTCATTCCAGGGTTTTTCTTTATTTTTACTATTTTTTACATTGTACAATAATAGTGAAGACATCAAAACTATGAAATAACACATATGGAATCATGTAGTAACCAAAAAAGTGTTAAACAAATCAAAATATATTTCAGATTTGAGATTCTTAAAAATAGCCACCCTTTGCCTTGATGACAGCTTTGCACACTCTTGGCATTCTCTCAACCAGCTTCATGAGGTAGTCACCTGGAATGCATTTCAATTAACAGGTGTTTGTTAATTTGTGGAATATCTTTCCTTCTTAATGCGTTTGAGCCAATCAGTTGTGTTGAGACAAGGTAGGGGTGGTATACAGAATATATCCCTATTTGGTAAAAGACCAAGTCCATATTATGGCAAGAACAGCTCAAATAAGCAAAGAGAAACGACCTTAAGACATGAAGGTCAGTCAAAGTTTATTCAAGTGCAGTCGCAAAAACCATCAAGCGCTATGATGAAACTGTCTCTCATGAGGACCGCCACAGGAAAGGAAGACCCAGAGTTACCTCTGCTGCAGGGGATAAGTTCATTAGAGTTACCAGCCTCAGAAATTGCAGCCCAAATAAATGCTTCACAGAGTTCAAGTAACAGACACCTCTCAACATCAACTGTTCAGACAGAGGAGACTGCGTGAATCAGGCCTTCATGGTCGAATTGCTGCAAAGAAACCACTACTAAAGGACACCAAGAAGAAGAAGAGACTTGCTTGGGCCAAGAAACACAAGCAATGGACATTAGACCGGTGGAAATCTGTCCTTTGGTCTGATGAGTCCAAATTTGAGATTTTTGGTTCCAACCGCCGTGTCTTTGTGAGACGCAGAGTAGGTGACCGGATGATCTCCGCATGTGTGGTTCCCACCGTGAAGCATAGAGGTGGAGGTGTGATGGTGTGGGGGTGCTTTGTTGGTAACACTGTCAGTTAATTATTTAGAATTCAAGGCACACTTAACCAGCATGGCTACCACAGCATTCTGAAGCGATATGCCATCCCATCTGGTTTGCGCTTTTTGTTTTTCAACAGGACAATGACCCAACACACCTCCAGGCTGTGTAAGTGCTATTTTACCAAGGAGAGTGATGGAGTGCTGCATCAGATGACCTGGCCTCCACAATCACCCAACCTCAACCCAATTGAGATGGTTTGTGATGAGTTGGACCGCAGAGTGAAGGAAAAGCAGCCAACCAGTGCTCAGCATGTGTGGGAATTCCTTCAAGACTGTTGGAAAAGCATTCCAGGTGAAGCTGGTTGAGAGAATGCCAAGAGTGTGCAAAGCTGTCAACAAGGCAAAAGGTGGCTACTTTGAAGAATATAAAATATATTTTGATATGGTTTTTTGGTTACTACATGATTCCATATGTGTTATTTCATAGCTTTGATGTCTTCACTATTATTCTACAATGTAGAATAGAGTGCCAGTTTCATCATAGCGCTTGATGGTTTTTGCGACTGCACTTGAAGAAACGTTCAAAGTTCTTGAAATATTCCGGATTGACTGACCTTCATGTCTTAAAGTAATGATGGACTGTCATTTCTCTTTGCTTATTTGAGCTGTTCTTGCCATAATATGGACTTGGTATTTAACCAAATAGGGCTATCTTCTGTATACACCCCCTTCCTTGTCACAACACAACTGATTGACTCAAACGCATTAAGAAGGAAAGAAATTCCACAAATTAACTTTTAAGAAGGCACACCTGTTAATTGAAATGCATTCCAGGTGACTACCTCATGAAGCTGGTTGAGAGAATGCCAAGAGCGTGCAAAGCTGTCATCGAGGCAAAGGGTGGCTATTTGAAGAATCTCACATATAAAATGTTTTGATTTGTTTAACACTTTTTTGGTTACTACATGATTCCATATGTGTTATTTCATAGTTTTGATGTCTTCACTATTATTGTACAATGTAGAAAATAGTAAAAATAAAGAAAAACCCTTGAATGAGTAGGTGTTCTAAAACTTTTGACCGGTAGTGTATATACAGAATAATCCAGAGAAAAAAATTATATATTTTTAGACCACCTAATAGAGAAAACTAAAAGGTAAAGCTGTGTATATTGAGGATGCAGGCCCTGCTTTAAAACAGTCACTAAATATTCCAGTCATTAAGACTATTCTCCACGAGAATTAGAGTGAAAAGTGGTTGATCAATCCCCCTAGCCCTCATAGGTAAACATGCCTGTTACATGTTAAGTACACTCAGTGAAACCACCATAAGAGACTTCATCATATCCGTTACATTACCACCAGAACCTCTAATCATGACGTACAATGATGTAAAAACAAAACAAATAAAATATGTTAATACCATTGACCCTCTGTATTCACATATTAACCTTCAAGAGATAACTTTCTGCTGATTCATAATCTAAATCAGTCTCGACACTGGTTTCAATATTAGGTCAAGGCCTTCCTGCCCAGAGTACCTTCAACAGCATAAGGAGTGACAATGTTGCAATAGTGGGTCTGTCAACACAGTCAATGTGTAACTGATCAGGTAAGGAATGGTCAGAGTTTGGTAGGTCAGTACGGATATTGTAAGCAGACTGGTCAATTAGCTCACTCACTACACTGTTACGGTCCGGGTCAGATTCTTGAAGACTCTGATCGAGGCAAACCTTCCAGCTGCAGTACATCTTCCACAGAATCCAAAGGTGGAATGTCCTGAGCATCCAAGGATCGCACGCCACCCTCCAGGCTTGGGTCACCTATTCCTTCAGAAGGCAACTCAGCCACCCACACTTTTGTTCTGTACTCAGCATCCTCATCATCATCACCCACTGCAGTGTCCATGGCAGCTGAGACCACAAGGCCGTCATTCATGTCCTCAGACTCTGTTAATCCAGACATATCTGTTCCATCATCAACGGCAGCATGGGGAAGAGGAAGAAAGTTGACTGGCATTATCAGGTTGCGATGTACCGTCTTCTCCTGTCCAGTGTAGCTGTTCTGAATCTTAAAGGTGTGACTGTCAGCATTCAGTCCAGTGACAAGGTAGACGGTATCCTCCCAACGGTCAGCAAGCTTCCGCTTTCCACGCTCCCCCTAAAATTGCCAGCAACACTCTATCACCAATCTCCACTGGTGCTCCTCTGACTCTTCTGTCATACAGGTCAGCATGCCTCTTCAACACATTCGCTGCAGATGCCTGTGCTGTATTCATGGATTCTTTCAGATCTCTCCTCAAGGACTGAACAAACTGGTCATAGTCGACAACTTCTGGGTTCTCTATGACAGAGCCAAAGACTGTCAACAGGCAGTCTTGGCGTCCTCCCAAACATTAGCAGGAAAGGGGCAAAGCCTGTGGTTTCGTGGATTGTACAATTGTACGCAAGGGACTTCAGCGCCTGAGGCCATCTGTGCTTTGCGCTCGTCGGCTAGGCCCGGATCATGTTTCCCAACGTCCTATTCATCCTTCCGCAGGACCCGATCCCCATCGGATGGTACGGCGTGGTGTGAGACTTCTGAACACCTGCAACCCTGATATCAGACTTCCCATAAGCCTACCTATAACTCTGCTTGGTCCACCAAAGATACGCCCCTCTTACGCATGTAAACCATGACCATATCCTCCCACTCATGCACTGTGCACTTTTCAGAGTACACCGGCTCCCTGATATCAGACTTCAACACCAGGTTCAGGCCCGATACATCCATAGCCCTAGAGCTGCATGCATTCCCGGTAACATTGTCCCCAACATGTCCAACACTTGCCTTTGACTCCAAACAGGAGGCAATGTTCTCCCCAATGGAATGACCAATCAAATCAAATCAAATTTTATTTGCCACATGCGCCGAATTCAACAGGTGTAGACATTACAGTGAAATGCTTACTTAAAAGCCC